GGAGGCCAAGGGGAGGTGTGCTTCTATTGCGAGAAGCGCGGCCATCGTTGGAGAAAATGCTACCAACGGCCCCAAGATTGGTCCCCGCCTTCCTCAAGCAACCAGCATGGTGGCAAGAGGAGTGGGGGAGTCATGGGAGCTAGTGGAGAGGAGAAGGATGACGAGAAGGGTGGCAAACCTGAAGAGCGGAAGGTCGGGTTCTTCTTCTTTGTGAAAGAAGGAATGACCGACCCCGCTATGGCTGCCAAGGTTCTCCTTCATCCCCTCACCCATTGGGTGATTGACTCTGGGAGCTCCTGGCATATGACTCCTCGTGCGGATCTTCTTGATGACATCCAGCCTGCACCGATCTCTACAGTCATATCCACGACTGGCGCCAAGGCCAAAGTCATGGGCATGTGATGCGCCAAGTTCATGGGAGCGGATGGTGAGCTTGTGGGATTGAAGAACGTGCTATTGGTGACGGACTTGTGCGCAAACCTGATCTCGACTGGCCGATTGGGAGACACAGGTGTGAATACCGAGACCATTGGCTCGGAGTGCTATCGTGCATACAACGATACGCGCCTTATTTGGGACCTGCGGCACAAGGGAGATGTCCACAAGCGCATGTGGCAGATCCCGGTTCTCCCTTGGCACAAATCGGGTAACACGGCTGCCGTGGCTACAATGGAGGAGCAATATTGTGTGCAAAGTGAGGAGCTGATTGGCGCAAGCGCAGCCGTGAAGGCGTCAGCTACCTCGGGCCAAGCGGATTGGGAAACTTGGCACCGGCGACTTGCACATGTGGCTCTCTCCACTTTGGAGTTGATGCACAAGGAGAAGTGCGTACACGGCCTGCAAGTGCATGGTGATGGCGCTGCCTTTGGCGGCTGCGAGGCATGCATGCAGAACAAGTTCGTGCGATTCCCATTCTTGCGTGCGGAGGGATCAGCAAAGGCACCATTGGAGGTGGTGCACATGGACCTTGTAGGTCCTATGAGGACAGAGGGGACTGGGGAAGCATTCTACTTCCTCACCATGGTGGACGAATGTAGTTGATTCACATGGGCTCGTCCCTTGTCCAAAAAGAGTGATGCCGCTGCAGCAATCAAAGAGGATTGGCTGCCGATGGTTGAGCGGCAGTCCATGAGACTAGTGAAGGTGCTGAGGAGTGACCGTGGTGGTGAGTTCCTTGGAACTGATTTCACCAAGTTTCTCAAAAGGAACGGCATCCGACACCAGCTGACCTGCCTTGGAACACCGCAGCAAAACGGCATTGCCGAGCGTGCCAACTGGACCATTGGCGAGGCGGCCAAGACCTTGTTGGGGGCTGCCGGAATGCCCTACAAGTTCTGGCCTGATTCTGTCCGCCATGTCATTACGGTCAAGAACAGAGTCTTGACGCATGTTGGCGAGAAGCACTGGGTGCCGTATGAGCGTTGGCTTGGCAAGAAGCCAACCATTAACATGCTGCGAGTATGGGGTTGCATGGGTCTTGTGATGGTGCCTAAGGACAAGAGGCACAAGCTAGAAGTAGCTGCTGTGTGGGCTGTCCATCTTGGGATGGCGCCTGACTCGAAGGGGTGGCTGATGTGGGACCCCAAGAGCAAGAAGACGCTGGTCAGTCGTGACGTCAAATTTGTGGAGGACGTCATGTACAAAGACTGGCAGCAGCAGCAGCAAGTGCAGATAGGCCTGCGTCTACAAGAGATTGAGCAGTCCGCAGTGGAGGAGGTTCAACTGCACCTCGATGATCTCCCTGGGTCAGAGCTGACCAGAGACCACAGTGGCAATGGTGATTAGCAAGTTGCTGGTCCTGTTGCAAAAGAAGGGTTGGAGGATGAGTCAGTGCGTGAAGACCCACCTTCTCAACCCGAGCCTGCTGTACAAGCCAAGGTCACAAAAGGGAGTGTGCAGAAAAGAGCTTCACTACTTGGGCAGCAAGCTGCTACCCACGAGAAGAGAGTGGCAGCACCACCTTCAAGGCTGAAGTATAGCCGTTTGGGAGGACCCAAGCAGGGTGCCATGGCAGTTCAGGCTGATGAGGGGGATGATGAAGAAATGGCCTTTTGCTTCCTCACACCCTTGCCTGGAGAACCGGCCACATTGGAGGAGGCACTCAATGGACCCCAGAAGGAAGAGTGGAAGGCTGCTATGGATGCGGAGTTCAACAGCCTCATTGAGAATGGGACTTGGGAGCTTGTTGAGCTACCTGAAGGGCGAACCAATGGCCGGTTAGCATGTTATTGACCCTTCTGTTTGTGGAAGCATGCACAACACACATGAGACAAGAGTGCCAAGTGAAAGTAAGACAACGGAACATCAGCGAAAGACACCAGGGATACAAGCAGGCAACAGTGAAGGTAATCAGGGATGGCATAGTGGGTCTTCAAAGTTAAGACGGATGCTGATGGAGCACTGGAGCGGTTCAAGAGCCGCTTAGTTGCCAAAGGGTTTCAGCAGAAAGAAAAGATCGACTTTGGTGCGATCTTTGCTCCTGTGGCTAAGCCAGTAACATTGAGGACTTTGCTGGCTGGCGCAGCTGTGAAGGGATGGCATGTGAAGCAGATGAATATCACCACTACATTCCTCAATGGAATACTGTTGGAGGTTATCTACATGAAGCAGCCTGACGATGGTACTGGCCGGGTGTGCAAGCTTAAGAAGGCTATGGCCTTAAGCAAGCACCTAGGTGCTGGTACGAAAAGCTCAAGGAATTGCTGCTGGCTGGAGGCTTCAAAACATCCCAAGCTGACCACAGCTTGTTCGTGTTCGGAGAGGGGGAGCAGCTCTTGCTGCTGGTGTATGTCGATGACATACTGCTGTTCTCACCTTCTATGGAGCAGATTGAAAGAGCTCAGAAGCTGCTGATGGATAGTTTCAAGTGCAAGATGCTTGGGGATGTCCATTACTACTTGGGGCTGCAGCTTGAGCGAGATGTCAAGAGGAAGTGGCTGAAAATGCATCAGTCACACTACATCTCTGGCGTGATGGATCGTTATGGTGTGATTGAGGGTCGCACTGTGATGACGCCATTTCCTGCAGGCTACAAGCTACACAAGGCAGCTGAGGATGATGATGTGCTCGAGGATGAGCTGCAGAATGAGTACCAGTCACTCATTGGGAGTGTGATGTATGCAGCTGTGCATACGCGACCCGATGCTTCATTTGGAGTGGGGAAGCTGGCCAGAGTTGTGCAGCAGCTCACTGAGGAGCATTTGGAGGTGGCAAAGCGCATGGTGTGCTACCTCAGATCTACTGCATCTGCTGGTGTTCAGTTTTCAGCTGGAGGGCAGCTGAAGCAACCTGGAGCAGATGAGATCATGCCTGGAACCTTGAAGCTATCGTGCTTCACCGATGCTACATGAACCTCGGAAGATGAGGATCAGTCATCTGTGGGTGGCTATGTTTGCATGGTCGGAGGAGGACTAGTGAGTTGGAGGTCCAAGAAGCAAAGTGAGATTGCTCAGTCTTCGGCAGAGGCAGAGTACATGGCAATGTATCATGCCATTAAAGAGATTGTGCTCTTGAGGAAGCTGCTGGAAGACATGGGAGCTGAACAAGAGGGACCTACACCACTTTTCTCTGACAGCGAGAGTGCTATTGCTATGGCCACTTATCCTATCCTGAATGGGCTGAACAAGCACATGAAAGTTAAGTGGCACTGGGTGAGGCAGATGGTGAAGGAGGGGGCTGTTAGGCTTCATTGGGTGAAGGCCTGCAAGCAGGCAACTGATTTTCTTACCAAATGTGCTAAGATGTGTGGCATGGCGTTGCACTAGTGTGTCCAGCAATGTCATGGGGGCATGTGTGTTTGTCTGTGTGATGAGTTTGCATGCGTATGAGTGTGTGTGCTTTAGTCCGTTAGTCTGAGGGGGAGTTTGTTGTGTGCAATTGAGAATGCGTTGTCAAACTTATATGCTATAGTCTGTGTAGGCTGTAGTGGGGTAGACAACATGGGGTACAACACTTTTAGGTTTTCCTACTTGTACTCACCTGTTTCCTAGTGCATTCATTCCTCGTTCTTTCACATGGTATAGAGCAGGTTCCCTAGTGGGAAAGTTTCCTAAGGCCCACCGAAAATCGTTTTTTTTTCTGCCCGGAGCGCGCTTCGCCCCTGCCCGAGTCGCGCCCCGTATGCCTGCCCTCCCGTCGTGTCCCCTGCCCTTAGCTGCCCGTCGCGCTCTCTTACGGCCCCGTAGCGGCCCCTCTCACGGCCCCTCACTGCCCCTCTCACAGCCCCTTCGCGGCCCCTTCTGGCCCCTTGCGGCCCCTTCGCGGCCCCGTCGCCGCCCTTCGCAGCCCCGTCGCCGCCCTTCTCGGCCCCGTCGCCGCCCTTTGAGGCCCCTCGCGGCCCCTTCTCGGCCCCGTCACCGCCCTTTCCGGCCCCTCACGGCCCCTTCTCGGCCCCATCGCCGCCCTTCGCGGCCCCTCACGGCCCCGTCTCGGCCCCGTCGCCGCCCTTTGCGGCCCCTCACGGTCCCGTCGCGGCCCCGTCGCTGCCCTTCGCGGCCCCTTCACGGCCCTTCGTGGCCCCTTCGCCGCCATTACCGGCCCCTTCTCGGCTCCTCCGCGAACAGCAGCAGCAGCCGCTGCCGCCGACAACAGCAGCCAACAGCAGCAGCCACCGCCGTCAGCAGCGGCCGCCGCCGACAGCAGCAGCGGCCGCCGCCGACAGCAGCAACTGACAGCAGCAGCCGCCGCCGACAGCAGCGGCCGCCACCGACAGCAGCGGCCGCCACCGACAGCAGCAGCCGCCGCCGCCGCTGCCGTAACAGCCGCCGCCGCCACTGCCGGGGCCGCAGCCGCCGCTGCCGTGACTGCCGCCACCGCCGCTGACGGGGCCGCAACCGCCGCCGCCGCCGACAGCAGGAGCCGCTGCCGCCGTCGTGGCCCTATCCCTGCCGACGCGCCTCGGCCCTGCCCCACCACTTGCGGGCCCCTACCCACCCGCCCTGGTAAGAGCATCGCCGAGCCGCGCCTACTGCTACTGCTACTAGCCTGCAGCTGCTGCTGTTATGGCTACCCCTAGCGTTCTCACCTTTGATGCCGAGGGTCGGGCTGTCGATTTTGATGTCTGGGTCGATGATCTGCAGCTTTTCCTAAAGTGCGATAGGAAAGACGGTCTCTCACTGTTCGATCTCACGTCTGGCGCCTCTCCTGCCCCTACTGCCGATGCTGACAGCACTGTTCGCTCCCAGTGGGCTACCCGCGATGCTGCTGCCCGTCTTGCTGTGCGTAGTCACTTGCCGTCCACTGAGCGCGCGCACTTTAGTCAGTACAATAGTGCTAAGACCTTGTACGGCGCTGTAGTTGCACGCTACTCTTCCCCTGCCACTGCTGCCCTTAGCCACCTCATGCTACCGTACCTGTTCCCTGACCTCGCCGCCTTTCCCACAGTCGCTGACCTCATTACGCACCTTCGCACTAGTGACACCCGCTACTACGCTACGCTTCCTGTTGACTTCTGCGCCAAGAACCCCCCCCCCATGTACATCACCCTCTACTACATAGTCACTCGGCTCCCTGACTCCCTTCGCTTAGTCATAGACCACTTCCTCTCAGTTTTCCCCACCACACTCACCGTTGACCTCCTCGCGGAGCGCCTCCTGGCAGCAGAGAAGAGCAAAGTCGCTGTAGGAGCCTCTCGAGGTGACCCTCGTACCCCCTTCTTTGAGGGGTGCTCCCCCTCCCCACTTTTGCCCTCTGTTGCCACTGCTGCTGCCGTCAACTTCGTTGGCACCGAGTCGGTCGGTGCTGCGTCTGCCCCTAGCGCGAGACGCCGCACCGGCAAGGGCAAGAAGGGCAAGGGCGCTGGAGGGGCTGGCGGGGGCGGTGGAGTTGGCGGTGGAGGGGCCTAAGTCACCCCTCCCTGCCTCCATGGCCTCCCGTTACCTTGTCTCTGGTCTCCCATGATCCCTCCCTCCCCTCCCTCCAGGGCCTGCCCCTACCTGCATTCCCTGCGTCGAGGGGCGGCAGCGCGCCGCTCCTCACTCCTCCGAGTTTCCTCCGACAGAGGCTCCGCTGCAGACTCTTCACATGGACGTGTGGGGCACCGCCCCTGTCCGTGGCCAGGGTCACGAGCGTTACTTCCTGTTGGTGGTTGACGACTACTCGCGTTACACCACGGTTTTCCCCTTGCGCAGCAAGGGTGACGTCATTGAGGTGTTGATCGACTGGATCCGCGCAGCTCGTCTCCAGCTCAGAGAGAGTTTCGGCTCGGACTTTCCTATTCTACGTCTGCACTCTGACAGAGGCGGAGAGTTTTCCTCTGCCCTTCTAGGAGCCTTCTATCGTACACAGGGCATCTGCCAGACGTTCACACTTCCGGCCTCTCCATAGCAAAATGGGATTGCTGAGCGCCGCATTGGCATGGTCATGGACGTCGCTCGTACGTCCATGATTCATGCGGCTGCTCCCCATTTTCTGTGGCCGTTCGCGGTTCAGTATGCGGCGCATCAGATCAACCTTGAGCCCTGAGTCTCCTTGCCAGACACCTCCCCTACTCTGCGGTGGACGGGGAAGGTTGTCGATGCGTCTGCGTTTCGTGTCTAGGGATCTCGGGCTTTTGTCTGCGACTTGTCTGCGGACAAACTGTCCCCCCGTGCTGTTCCCTGCGTCTTCCTTGGCTTCCCCCCTAACGCGCCTGGTTGGCAGTTTTACCACCCCACCTCGCGCCGTGTTCTGTCCTCCCAGGACGTCATGTTTGACGAGTCGGTTCCTTACTACCGTCTCTTCCCCTACCGCACTGCGCCCCTCCCCCCGCCGCCGCTCTTCCTCACGCCAGGTCCCCCCCCCGGTAGACCCCCTTCCCCCTCAGGGTCCTGCCCCCTCAGGTGTGTCCTAGGTAGACGCGGTCGAGTCTGTCGAGGTAGATGTTTACTCTGGTGCGGGGCCTGGGGGTGCTGAGCCTGAGGGTGCTGAGTCTGGAGGTGCTGAGCCTTGGGGTGCTGGGTCTAGGTGTGCTGAGCCTGGGGGTGCGGAACCTCAGGGTGCTGGGCCTACTGATGTGGAGTCTGGCGGTGCTGGGTCTGGGGGTCCCTCGGGTGCTTCGTCCCGGCGGGAGCTCCCCTCTCCTCAGAAGCTGCGCGAGTGGTTTGCTCGGCGCTGGAGCTGTGCTGCTGGAGCTGGAGGTACTGCTCGCGCTGGCGGTTCTGCTGCTACTAAGGGTGTTGGTGCCACGGGTTCCGCACGTGCTCGTACTGGAGGTATTGGAGCTGCTAGGCCTGGGGGTGCTCCTTGTGCTAGAGCTGCTGGTGGTGCTAGAGCAGTGGTTGTCGAGTGTTTCGGTGGTCCGGCTGGAGCTGGAGCTGCTAGGGGTGTTGGCGCTGGAGGTGCTGCTGGCGCTGCTGCTTATGAGGGTGCTGGAGTTGGCGATGCTGCAGCTGGGGGTACTACTGGTGCTGGTGCTGCCGCTGGGGTTGCTGGTGCTGTCCCTGCTGGCTCTGGAGGCGCTGCGCGGCCACAGCCGTACTTCGTTCCGCTCCTTGAGCAGGTTCTTTGTCTCCCGCCTTCTGCTGGTCCTGGTCCTTCCTTAGAGTGTCCGCCACCTGTCCAGTCTTAGTCGCAGTTACAGCCCGCCTCCCCACTGCCTGCTCCCTCTCCCTACACCGGTCCTACTGAAGGTCTTGCTGAGCGTCGTGCGCCTGCGTCTCGTCCTGCGTCGCCTGTTCGTGCTGCTCGCACTAGTAGCCGTTTTCCGTGTCCGCGTCCTCTTGCGGTCCCAGGCACACACCAGATGGCACTGCGTCCCTCCACTGCTCCACTGCGTGTCCCGTTGCCGTCTTCTCCAGAGTCCTCTCTTCCTGCTCTTGCTGACCCGGAGTTTGACTCTCTTTGTGCTGCCAGTCCTACTATCACGCGTCTTCTGGCTACTGTTGTCACTGGCCCTTCCTTTGCGTCCACTACTGCGTCTGCCCTAGTTGCTGAGCTTGTCGACTTTGCTGCTCGCTATCGTCTAGACTACGCCGCTAGTCTCGTTGCTGAGTCTGAGTCTGTCTGTCCTCCGTCCGTCGGGGGTGAGTGTGCTCTTAGCACGGACGTCCTTGAGGACACGCAGGAGGAGTTCCACAGTTTTGCTGCTACTTTGCCTCATCTCGTGTCCATGCTGATTGCCCCTGAGGGAGACCCGGATGCACCAGACATCCCGACTCCTCGATCGAACGCTGAGGCGATCGAGGGTCCCTACTCCTCACAGTGGCAGTCAGCCATGGACGCAGAGATGGCTTCCTGGAAGTCCACAGGCACCTACGTCGACGAGGCTCCCACACCTGGGGCGAACATCGTCAGTGGCATGTGGATTTTCAGGGTGAAGCGGCCGCCTGGTTCTCCGTTTGTCTTCAAGGCGCGTTACGTGGCTCGAGGCTTCAGTCAGCGGCAGGGAGTTGACTACTTTCAGACCTTCTCTCCCACCCCGAAGATGACCACTCTTCGGGTGCTGCTGCACATAGCCACTCAGCGCGACTACGAGCTTCACTCTCTTGACTTCAGCACAGCTTTCTTGCAGGGCAGCCTGCACGAGGAGATCTGGCTGCGCCGCCCACCTGGCTTCACTGGGTCGTTTCCTCCTGGTACCCAGTGGAGCCTCCGGCGGCCAGTCTACGGTCTCCGCCAGGCGCCCCGTGAGTGGCACGACACACTGAAGACCACACTTGCGGCTCTTGGGTTTGCTCCCTCTACTGCCGACCCGTCGCGGTTTCTACGCACCGACACCTCTTTGCCGCCGTTCTACATCCTTGTGTACATCGACGCTTGGTCTTTGCCACTGCTGACTCTGCTAGACTTGCCCACGTGAAGTCCGAGCTGCAGAAGAGACACACGTGCACAGACCTGGGTGAACTGCGCAGCTACCTTGGCTTGCAGATCACCCGGGACAGAGCACAGCGCGCCATTACCCTGACTCAGTCATACATGGTGCAGCAGGTCCTTCAGCGCTTCGACTTCACGTACTCCTCTGTCTACTCGCCACTCGCTCTCAGCTCTGCCTTCGGATGAGTCTGTATAGCCGAGTGGCCCGTACGCAGAGCTTGTTGGCTGCCTCATGTACCTGATGACCTGCACTCGACCTGACCTTGCATACTCTCTTAGCATCTTAGCACGGTATGTTGCTCCTGGGAGACACAGACCGGACCACATGGCTAAAGCGAAGAGGGTGTTGTGCTACTTGTGCAGTACGTCGGGCATGGGGCTAGTGCTTGGAGGGCGGCGTCCAGTGGTCCTCACAGGTCACGCAGACGCTTCTTGGGCTGACGACCAGGCGACGCAGCGGTCGTCACAGGGTTACACCTTCAGCCTTGGTTCCGGCTCTGTTTTGAGGCGGTCTACCCGCTCGTCTTCTGTTCTCGGCTCTAGCTGTGAGGCTGAGATCTACGTGGGGGCCATGGCTGCAGAGGAGCTACGCTGGCTCACCTACCTGCTGACTGACCTAGGAGAGGTGCCTCGTTCTCCTCCAGTTCTGTACGTAGACAACAAGGCCATGCTGGCCTTGTGTTGGGAGCATAGACTAGAGCACAGAACGAAGCACATTGCTCTTCTCTACTTCCTTGCTCGTGAGCTGCAGCAGCGTGGTCAGTTGCGCCTTGCTTACGTGGCCTCTGAGGCCAACACTGCTGATATCTTTACCAAGGCACATCCGCCTTTTGATCATCAGCACTTTTGTACAATGCTAGGTCTTATGCCTACTTGGCCTCACTTGCTCACTTCTTGACCTTGCTTGTACTGTGATCTATATATACCTGCACTTGCTTGTTTACCTTCATATGTAATCTTGCATGTGAACTGGCCTTGTGGCCTTGAACTTGTGCTCGTAATGTGTGGTGACGTTGTGATCCACCTTGAGCTTACTGTGCTTTGCTTGACTGGTCTTGTGACCTCTTGTTCTCCCCCACTTTGCCTATGGGGGTGTGTCAAACTTATATGCTATAGTCTGTGTAGGCTGAAGTGGGGTAGACAATATGGGGTACAACACTTTTAGGTTTTCCTACTTGTACTCACCTGTTTCCTAGTGCATTCATTCCTCATTCTTTCACACGCGTGGACCGAGCTCGGATCCATTGCGGGGGTAACTTCACGTTTACCCAGGAAATGTTAGCAACGACCCTCGACGGAAGTGACATTTTACTCGGCTGTGATTGGTTGCGACTACACAATCCGCAAATCAACTGGACGAGGTAGCAGACAAACCGAGTTACTTACGTAAACTGCTTGCCGACGTACCGAATGACTTGGCAACGCTATTGAAGCAGTACAGTGGGATATTTCCAAACGACTTACCAGAAGGACTGCCACCTCAGCAACCATGCAACCACATTATAGATCTAGAACCAGGGGCACAGCCGATAGTATCGACTGAGCCAACCCGAACTAGATGAGCTGCGGAAGCAATTGGATTACCTGCTCGAGAAGAACTTCATTCGCCCTATCAAAATAGTAGTTGAGGGGCCTAGGGTTTGACCTAGGCGAGAGTGACGAGAGAGTTGAAAAGGAGAATGAGTGAATAATAGAAGGCATAAAAGATATAGTCAAGGAAATGGGCAAATGGTTCACCACCAAGCAGGAGACTATATAACTACACTAAACTCTAATGTAGGCATTTATAAATGTATATGAATACATTTCAACACGCCCGAGTTCGTTGCCCTTCGCCGCACCGACACTTTTCACACCGAAGAAGGATGGGGGTTTTCGCATGTGCATAGATTACCGTGCACTGAACCAAGCTACCATCAAATCCCGTTTCCCCATCCCACGAGCCGACAAACTGATCCACCAGGCTCGCATAGCCCAAGTCTTCTCGAAAATCAACCTTCGGGGAGGTTACCACCAAATCCGAGTCAGTCCGCCCGACTGCCCAAAAACCGCCTTCACCCGCTACGGATCCTTCAGATACACTATCATGCCCTTCCAACTGACCAACGCCCCTGCCACTTTTCAAATGACTATGAACGAAGCTTATCGCATACTATTAGATAAGTACGTGATCGTCTACTCATACGATATACTGATTTACAACCCGGACCGAGCACAGCACTTGAAGACATTGAAGCAGTTTTCAAGATACTGACTGAGAACCGACTACTGGCAAGAGCGTCTAAGTGTGCATTTCTACTAGACACACTATAGTTTCTAGGGCACATTATGTCGAGGAGAAAAGGCCCCGCCCTCGCTTGGGCGAAGTCGGCCATGCTTTTCGGAGCACAACGGTGTTCGTTTCGTGGTCATCGGCGACTTCAGGGACTCTTATGTCTGAACGACGGGTCGATTTTCGAGAAGATTAAGTCATCGAAATTGAAGTGTTGTTTCTGCTCTACGCAACTGCCCGTTGACAAGGCACTTGTCGAGGGGAGCAAATCGACGTCGAAATCAGGCCTTGCGGGTCGACGAAATTGGAGAAAATGGCGTTTCGACGAAACGCTGGTCGACAGAATTAAGCTTGAACGAGGCATCGTCGAGCAGAGAAATTTTGGTCGACCAAAAGAACTTGTCCCCAAACATTGCAATGTGTGCGAATTTCTACCAATTGCAAAACATCAAATTTCGACCAATCAGAGCATTTTGGAAATTGTACTTCCCAGGAGATTTCGAATTAGTAAAGAAACTGAACTTGAAACACGTTTTTACTAACAGTAAAAACGTAGACAACTCTGAACGTTGGAAACCTGAGAAGCTGCCAACTCAGGAGAAAGACACATGTGCTTGTCGTTTCACCTGGCGTTGCTGACTCGGAAAGGTCGCGCGTTCGTCGAGGAACGTTTCTCCAGGGTTCATTGTGCTTGCTATTTGGGATCTCTTTCCTTGTACCATAATCTTGTTCTATCAATTTCCTTAGTGAAACTATGCTTGAATTCT